ATGGGCGCAGGGGGCTGGGGTGCTGCACGAGCCAGGTCCCACCGCTCTGCCCTCGTGGTCAGCACGTTCTATTACGCGCTGTTAAATGAAGCGTCCGAACATATTACAGGCACACACCGAACTTTAACAGCCTCTCAACTATCAGTGCCCCGTTTTCCCTTCAGCTGGTGTCAGCTTACCCGGATTTCATTTAGCCAAATCATGGCTTTTCAGAAAAATAGCACAAAATCATCAATTCATCTGTTCTCCTGGAATTTCTCGAGCAAAGAGCACGCCTGGAAATTAATTTCAGTAAGCAAAGGCCAATTCTTTTAAGACTCTTGGGTGCATGTTAACCAGAACCTGCTAATTTTAAAGCACCCACTGCTAAGAGATGTTTAATGTCCTCTTGGTTACTAACGGGCTGGAAAGTATTTCATCACCCACACGTGATGCAAATACATCATCCCGCGTCTTTCCAAACGTATGGATTGAAGTGTAGATGTGCAAGCCTCACACATGCAGTAAAAGGCTTTTTCGGAGAACACAGTAAAACGTAATTGCCTTTGGCCTCAGATCTGAGCGCCCAGACTCAGGCTCCTAAACACATATTTATTTAAGTAATCTAAACAAACTTATTTATGCTGACACCTCAACAGGAAAGGCACGATTCTGGGAGGTGCTAAACACCAGCAGCATCTACCAGCTTCATGGAGATGCAGGCTGCGCACCTGGGGGGGGACAGCCCCCCCCGCCAGCACCAGAATGACCCCAAAAGAGTTAAAAAACTCCACAACTCTCCTCAAAAACCTAGCTGAAGGGATCCCTTCCAGCAAGATGGTGGGAGGATGGAGGAAAGGCTGAGGGAGCTGGGCTTGTTCAGCCTGGAGAAGAGAAGGCTGCGAGGGGACCTTAGAAATGCTTATAAATATCTGGAGGGTGGGTGTCAGGAGGATGGGGATGGGGTCAAGCTCTTTTCAGTAGTGCCCAGTGAAAGGCCAAGGGGCAACGGGGACAAACTGAAGCAGAGGAAGTTCCAGCGGAACACGAGGAAGAACTTCTTCCCTCTGAGGGTGACGGAGAACTGGAACAGGCTGCCCAGGGAGGTTGTGGAGTCTCCTTCTCTGGAGATATTCAAGACCCGCCTGGACAAGGTCCTGTGCAGCCTGCTGTAGGTGACCCTGCTTCGGCAGGGAGGTTGGACCAGATGACCCACAGAGGTCCCTTCCAACCCCTACCATTCTGTGATTCTGTGAGTCCAAAGCAAAATGAGAGTGGACAAAAGACATCAGCCCTCTGCATCCAGCCCCTCGCCCTGTCCCTGTCCCAGCGGGGAAGGCTACACGAGCCACCCCACATGCCGACCACGTTGGACCCACGTCATGGTGTCTTGTCCAACATGCATCGGCCGGTGCCTTGTCACGCTGGGGAGAGAAACGAGCCCACCGGTGGCATCTGCAGCCCTAATGGACGGGGCGTCCTGGGCAGGGGCAGCTCCCCAAGCCCTGAAGGACACTGCGGGCCAAGGAAGATCCAAGGGCCACCTGACCCAAACTTGGTCAAAGGATCTGTGCTCGATGGCAGCGCCGGGCTCTTCCAGCAACCTCCTTTGAACTGTTAATCAAGCACAATCCTGCAGCATAATAGCCTGGTTATTATTGCCTTGTTTGCATAACAAAGAGGACCAATAAAACTGATATGGCTGTGCTCAGAGGGGGTGTGAAAGCTCAGCCCTGAGAAAAGAGCTGCAGTAATGCAGCAAACTGCTCCAAAGCCTCAGCCCAGGAAGAAAGACAATGCAATTTGCCAGCAAGAAAAGCCCAATAGACCAATAAATTACCCATGTGCAAAGGGATTAGCTCAGGTTTCAGCTGCACTGAAGTGGGGGGAGGAGGGAACTGAAGGAGGAAAATAAACCTGACTCTCTTCAAGCACTGGAGCTCATATTTTGCAAGGGCATGCATGAGGAGGTCGGTTTGAGGGGCCACCTTCCACGTTGGGGCCTGGGCTTTGTGCTCTCTTCCACTGGCAAAAGCAGCCGACGCATTAAATCCATGCAAAGGACCTGCTGATAGAGCGACTCAAGACGCATCCGAGAACACACTATGAGGAACCCACTATGAGGAAAGGCTGAGGGAGCTGGGCTTGTTCAGCCTGAAGAAGAGAAGGCTGAGAGGGGACTTTAGAAATGCCTATAAATATCTCAAGGGTGGGTGTCAGGAGGATGGGGCCAGACTCTTTTCAGTGATGCCCAGCGACAGGACAAGGGGCAACGGGCACAAACTGAAGCAGAGGAAGTTCCAGCTGAACACGAGGAAGAACTTCTTCCCTCTGAGGGTGACGGAGAACTGGAACAGGCTGCCCAGGGAGGTTGTGGAGTCTCCTTCTCTGGAGATATTCAAGAACAACCTGGACAGGTCCTGTGCAGCCTGCTGTAGGTGACCCTGCTTCGGCAGGGGGTTGGATCAGATGACCCACAGAGGTCCCTTCCAACCCCGAACATTCTGTGATTCTGTGAACACACCTTGATCCACGCAGCTTCTTTTAACCCAGTCCTTGTCTTGCTCAAGAGGATGCTGGGGAAAGGCTTTCTCCAGTTTAAAGTCAAAAGAGGGACCCAGAACAATGCTTCTCGTTTCAATGCGCGTCCATCACTAAAGCATCTAGAGGACCTGCTGTGGCCAACTCTTTTTTGCCCCCAGTGTCCCCCATCTCCCCTCTCCCGGTGTCACAGGGCAAGCACGGGTAGGAGAAAAGCAGAGTCAGTGTCTTCACCGGCTACGGCGTGAACCGTCGGATGCTGCCAAAGGAGCCCTTGAGCGTTCCTGTCCCTTAGTCAGCTCTTTTGGCTCCGAGAGCCAGCTTACCGCTGACCTGGCACACTCAGTGGGGCCCGATGTGCCTCCCCCCAGCCAGCATCGCTCCTCCACCCTCGCCTCGACACCCCCGCGCAGGGAGAAGGGCGAGCAGATGCCGTCGGAGACGGCAGCAACCACGGAGCTCGAAGCCGGGGCCACAAGTGGCTGGCGATGCCGCTCCAAGAACTCCCAGCAAATCTTGGGAAGTTCGGGAGGTGCGACGGGCTGAAAGCAGGAACCAGCGTTCACGGCCAAAGCAGCGACAGCGTCGCAGACTTTGCTCTTAACACTTTATCCTGCCTTTGCCGCAACCCTTGAGCTTTCACCTGCTCGGAGGAGGCAGCGCTGGTGGATGGTTCGGAGGACAACGCAGGTTTTGCTCCACCACGAGCTGGCGGATGGAAGATGAGGTGGGAGGGAAGCGATCTCCTCCGATTCTCCATCGCTAACGAAGCTGGCTCCCCGCCACGGCACGCTGCGGGCTGGAAAGCGGTGCGGGAGCTGCACACCTGGGCTCTCTCAGCCACGGAGAGCCCGGCTGCTTCCACCAACAGCTCTCCAGGGCCGGTAAACCTCCTTGAGCAGAGTGGCCCATTTCACAGATGAGGATGCTGAGGATGTGAAGGGCTTCACCCAAGGTGAGCCCGGTGGAAAGAGACGTGGATTCACTCTCTCATCCCCTGCATGAAGCATCACCCTCATCTTCCTCC